GGTAACACAGGGGCGGGGAGTAGGCCTGGCCCCAAAGCAGGGAGTGGGGGAGTGGGCTTGGGCAGGGGAAAAAGCCAACATGGTGGGGGGGAGGGAAACAGCAGGCCCAGCCAGATGCAGACACAGCAGTGGCTGGCAGAGGGAAGGAGCAGGTCTCCTCCCCCCCCAGGCCTGGGCCCACTCCTGCCCTACCTCACCCCCACCCCACTCCAATATCCCCAAGTGGGCTCAAGATGGTGGGGCCAGGGAAGGACTGGGCCCAGGCCTGACATAGGGGGTGGGGGGAGTGAGCCTGAGCTGAGGGGAAAGCCAGCCTGCCATGGCAGTGGAGGGGGAGGGGGGAGGGAAGAGGGAAGCAGGCCTGGCCTGGCCTGGCCGGGCCCAGCAGCTGCAGGGGGAGCAGAGGAGCAAGACTCCTCCCCCACCCCCACTCTCCCTCATCAGCCCTGAGCCAGCTCTTTCTGTCCCCCTGCCACCACCAGGTCGGCCCGGGCCCACTGCTCCCCTCCCCCCACAGCAGCCTGGCTTCTTGCCACCCTCAGCCCCAGTCCTCCCGTGCATCAGGCCTGGGCCCACTCCTCCCCTCCCCCTGTCACAGCGGTGGGGAAGGGGGGAGCAGACCTAGACCTCAAGCAGCAGGGGGAAGGAGGAGAGGGCCCAGACAGGGGGGGCCTGGGGCTCCATCCCTACCCACTCCCCCCCTTCCCCTCCCCCATCATTTTGACGGGCAATTGGCTACTGATTTAATATATGCCTAACATTTGGGAGAACACAAGAGATTATCATTGGCTGAAACTGCTTTGTATGTTCAGTGCAGATTTCAAGACCAGGAGCTTTGCCTTCCCTAAGAGAGCTGATTCTCCCACTTAGTTTAGGTACTGTGTATTATGCCCCAGAATTATTAACTTTCCCATCTTTTCATTACTGAATTGGTAGCTTGGGTTAATGCTGCATCATTTTCTAGGAGTTGATAGACAACCAGATAGTATTGTACTGATAATCTGTCTTCCTTTGAAGACTGACAAAAAACCTTTTGTATATTTGTCCCTATTTTCTTACTGTTGCAGATAATATTTATGCTCCATTTGAGCTTCTAGAATTACTTCTGCCTTTCCTTCCTCAGTACAGAGCTCAGATCTTTGCCAGCTACAGTGCTTTCTTTGGTAAATGGATCTGCTTCATACATCATTTTGTATTTCATGCATCAACTACTGTGTGCATCAGTCCTGGTACTGTTCATTCTGCAGCCTCTGTTGAAGCTGCAACATCATTTCTATCAATTACTATTGGAAGTCAGCAAACTTTGGGATGTACATTAGGCTCATGTTGTACGCATTTGCCTACATATGGATTACTTAATCATCTTCCTTATTCGTGTTGACATTTCTGATTTGTTAGGATGGTTTGGCTAGGAATGATCTTGCCTCAGGAAGGGGGTTTAACTAGATTACCTCTGGAGGTACCTTCCAGATCTACTTCTCTATGATTCTATGACAGTCACCCCTGTTTTATCAAGACAAGATTATCTAATCTCTATAAAAATCAAACCTTTCATGTGATGTTTCTTGCACACCAATGTGATAGAAATGCTGCTGATACCTATTGTCAAGACTTCAATATTTCTCTTATTGGTTGCATTGACCATGAAGTCAGGGATTAACAGAGATTGCAATCCTGTATCACTCAGGCAGAACTGAACTGCCAGCCAGACAAAAGATTATGAACCTAGGTGGTGACAGCCACCAAATACCTAGAAAGCTATGCACTAACCAGAAACTTATGACAAATAGGGAGACAAGAACGTATACATAGGTTCCTTCTGCTGTTACAAAGCCTTGAACTTTAACAGAAAGGCAATGCAATAATTTTGCCTGGCAAACAAACCAGATATCACTTTTCATTAAAGGAAACTAGTTTCAGTCCTTGTTTAAAAGGTATCCAATATTTTGCTGCAAGCTTTTTCAATTGCCAAGGAAGCAGCCTGTGCAAGTATCAAGCAATTTAACTTGCTCATCATTCCTCAATTTACTTTCTATTTTAAGGTCATTTTACATAAAAGATATAGATCTCTCTCTCTCTCTCCTTTAAATAATGTATTTTTAAATATCTGTCACCCAAATAAAACCAGCCCTTTGGTTCCTCCTGAGTAAAAGCTTCATCAAATTGAACGTTCTGGACTTAAAAACTAAGAATCTGCCATACAAATAGAATTCATATAAAATCACAGAAGAATGAGTTCTTTCTGGTATTGAGAAAGTTAGCACCCATCTGTTGTTTCACATTACAAAGTTACAATGGTACAAACAAAGAGAAAACCCCTTGTTGATAAAATAAGAAAGGTCTTATGAGTATATAATGATACTACATATGCACATGTCCTTCTGCTCATGTAAAATGTACAGAAAAGAATATATCAGTTTGCAATCAAGTCTCACTGAACGCGTTATGAACATGAACTAAGATCCACAAACATATTATCTTGTTCAATGTTAGTTATATATAAAAGTTTAAGTGATTTAGATCATAGGCAACTGGGGGTTAAATGTGACCTTAATGTTAAAAATTACCTTAATATTGGATCATACAATATTAATATCCACAGATTCTAAGTCCCATGAGAATGTAAACTTATTTGGTTCTAGGCTCTTTTATTTAAAACAGACTAGTTTTTCTCTGAAATGAAGCTAGTTTTATGAAGTAGGAATGAGGGAGGAGAGGGGGAGAGCAAATTAAGTAGACATTTTACCTGTTAGCCAATGTCTGCACCTCAGAGTGTTTTTCTTTGTATACAGCTTTATATCCCTGAATAAAAGATAGGTAGGATTTTGGAGTCACATGGGTAGAACGTCTGTATCTTTGGAAGTAGTCCACGCACTTCTCTGCTACCCCATCCTGGAATGAGCCCATACACTGCACCACCTCCTTCTTGGTTTCAACAGAGCAGTCAACTTCATAAGCAGACAGGAAGTGTTGTGATACTATTTTAAAAAAGGAATTCTGTTAATTAACCTCTTTAACCTTCATTCCTTTCATGAAAAATGGAGGAAAAAAAAAAAAAAAAAAAAACTTGAAACAGCATAGAGTCTGCAATTAACATCATGAAAAATTATGTCTCCTAAATTGCTTGTCAGGTTCCTAAATGCTATTTGAACTCCACATTTGTGCATCTACAGGATGAACATGTGGCATAATCATAAACAACTTTCAATTTTTAAGGGTCCATATTCAAAAAAATAAAAACACACTATTATACTTGAGCACAATGCTGAGGAAGCAAGACAACAAATGCAGGATAAAGAAAACATCTGGAACTAAATACTCAAGGCCATCTGAGATGCAGCTCTTCCTTATCTTCTACATGCATGCATAGAACTAGAAAGCATGAACACAATAATTAGCTGCACTGTAGTCTTGGAACTTGCCCAGAACCCCATTTTCTGTGTGAAACTAATATGCATATTAAGGCTGACAGGCCTCCCATTCTTGGGCTAAATGTCGGAGAATTGCAATTTAAACATCAGGTTTTTTAATAGCATCTCATAGCATAAATTAAATACTGTCTTATTTTTGTCTGATCCTAGGCTCCTAGCCTCACTCACAGGACAGACCCTTTTACTTTTTCATATTTAATGTCAACCAGTGCTATTAAGAGTAAGTCAAGGTATAAAGAAACTTCATGTGAAAAACCAAGCTATAGTCTAGGCCTTGCTTACTGCCATTTGAGCCTTGAAAATGGACTATATATATAGGGCATGGACCTTCTACTGGCATTCCTTATAGGATTCAAGATACCATTTACACATCTTTTTAGGTTGTAGTAGTAGGTAGTGATGTTTTACTCACAATTTTCAATAAATGAAATAATAATATCATAAATAAATTTACACACACACACACACACACACACACACACAGAGAGAGAGAGTATATAATTTTTCATTTTTGCTAGAAGTGTGAAGATTACAATATTCTACTAGTTTAAACAAAAAACATACAATGATACAAATATAGATACAATGAAGCACTGGACAACAAAACAAAAACAGGGAAATTCTATTGTATAGTTTAAGCAAAAATAGTATTGTTTTAGTAGTTTATTAGGAGCTTTCACTAACACTGCAGCAGTTTAATCTTAGCTTGAGTTGTTAGAGCCATTTGACCCCATCTTATGAAGTTACTGGGAACATGTTTCAGGGGTGTAGGTTGTAGCCATGTTGGTCTAAGGACCTAGACAGACAAGATTATTTAGGTAAAGAATATTGAATAAGATATCAGATTTACCCAAAGAACCTTGTCTGCTCTGTTAGAGGAACATGACTTATGAGTAGAGGCAGAGGAACTGGGCTTATTAGTATGGAGAATAAAAGACTGAGGTGGGATGTAATAACAGCTTTCCTCTACCTGAAGGGTGGCTACAAAGAGGATGGAGTGAAACTCATGGTTGTCAACTTTTGCATTTGTGGACCCCTAAAAAAACTGAATGGTGATGTGGACTCCTTTGGAAATGTTGAATGGAGATGCAGATCCCTTTGAATTGTAAGCACGGGTAGTCATATAACCATGATCAATCAAAAGTATCTTTCATGGACCCTTTTGACACAGTCTGTGGTCCCCCAGGTGGTCCTGCTTTGAGCTGGGGGTTGAACTGGTGACATCCTGAGGTCCCTTCCAAACCTAAATTTCTATTCTATAAAGACTAAGTTGAAACCTGCATTTCCTCCTCCTCTACAGGGTAATTATTCTTGCATAGTTTCTCTTAATCATGAAGGCTTGAAGTCACGATTACCTTGAGTGGTTTTAAATATAATACTCCCAGTAAACAATGACTCATAAAAATTTTGCTAAATTGCCTGAGAAAAAAATATTTTTTTTCAAAATTTCCTATGAATCTTTAATGATTTTTTAAGGGCAAAACATGTTTCTTTTACCAACAGATATTTGTCTCTTAAAAGACAGAGGAGAGACTTTTACAGTTCAGGGTTTCCACATATTATACAGTACTCACCTCAATGAGAGTAAAGAAAAGAATTAAATGGGATTTAATTTAGTTAATTAAAGCAGCTTCCCTTTTCATCTCGGAGGAAAAAGTTACCTTGATCATCTTCAAAGCAACTTAAAAAGCATTGGTTTCACCTACCATATTTACCTACATATGATAGACACCTTTTTTTCTGAAAGTTACCTATTGAAAATTGGGATGTGTGTCTTAAGCAAGGAAATACAGCCAAGGCCAGATCCAAGAGAATACACTGGTACTCTGCTTCAATTCCCCCTCTATT